CCCGCTGCAGCGTGGCTGCCACAAACTCCTCCACCTGCCAGCCAAGAGCACAGGGAAGAGTGGTCAGGAGAGGAGAGACCCTGGTGGTCCCACTGCCCACCCCTGCCCAACCACCCCTGTGCCAGGGCAGGGCAATGGTGACACAGCAGTGGCTGCAGGGGCAGAGGGAGGCAGCCCAGCCCCTTCTCTGCCTCCTCTCCCTGCTCTGCTACAGCTGTGCCACAGGATGGGAGCTGGAAAGCCAACTGGGATGGGTGAACAACCAAAAAACACCAAGGGTTTGTATGAAATGCAAACTGATCTTGGAAAATTGAAACAGGGGCAGACGGGGCCAGCGAGGGCTGCGGAGCTCCGGGAGGCGCCGCTCCCCGGCTGCCAGAGCACAGCCTGGCTGCAAGGCTGCAGCTGGGAAGGGATTTAGCACAGCTCAGATAAACTGTGTTACAGCAAAAATCACACCTACCCGCAGCCCCCAACAGCTCTGGGGACCAGCACAGCCCCCTCCCTGCCCCTGCCCAGTATGGCTCCCTGGGGCTCCAGCTCCTGCTCCTCAGCTCCCCGGTGTCAGACACCACCTACCCACACCACACAGCCAAAACTCAAGCCCGGCCATTTACCACCTGTGTCACTTATTTTGTGACTTTCTGACAATTTCTTTTTCTCTTTCCCCAAGCCATAACAATCCCCTCTGGCTGGCACTGGCCCTCTCAACACTTGGCACCAACACCTTTGATCCCACAGACTTCCTGCTCTTCTACATAAGAAATCAGGGAGTTCCAGTTCAGGGTGAGCTCACCAGCCACAGAGGCACCAGTCTCTGGTGTATTGGGTTTGTTACCCACAAAAGGCACATTACAAAACAAGGGGAACTATTCTGGAAGACAATGCATGAGGGCAACAAGGTGCTTTTGCACCAAAACCCCCCATTTCCAGCCTCCAGGGCACAGACACTGGTACAGGCAACATGCTTCCTCATCAGCAGAGGAGCTGATGGCTGCCAGGTTGGCTAAGCACATCCGTGCTGCATGGAGGAGGGAGGCTGGCTGGGAGGGCTGTGGAAAAGGTTCAGTGACCTTCTGGGCTGATTAGTCTAGCAATGAAATGCTGTGAAACAGCAAGAATAGGGAGTAAAAACAAGTGTGGGAACATCTGCTCTCACAAAACAGTGACACACAAGCTGAAAGGGTTGGAGTTATATTTAATGCAAAAAATAGGAACATCGTGAACAAGTAATCTACCAGGAGATAGCTGCTGAGAAAAACAAAAGGTTAAAAAAACCCCTGATCTGCAAGGAAAGAAAAAACATCCTAATCAAGAAGGAAATTAAAAATATCTAAATCTAGAAGGGGGAAAAAATGCTTGAAAAATAAAACACGGGGCATGTTTTTGCTCACACAGAAAGAGCATCCTGGGCCTAACAAGGAAATCGAGTCAGTCTCATGAAAATCCATTGTGTGGGGTGGAAAAGGTAAATAAAAGACACTGTGCACTTGAGGGGGTGCACAGCTGCTGCCCTTCCTGGGTCTGGCTTTGGGAAGAGGGATCCCACTTGCTCCCACCCTGATCAGCACCAGGCCAGGCTCCAGGGTGCCCACAGCAAGAGCCACAGAGGGCCCTTGTGCTGCAGAACCTGCTTACAAAGAGCTCTGCACCTGCTGTCCCTGCCCGAGGGAGGTCCCTGGGACACAACCCCGGCTGGAACCTGACGGCTTCTTTGTCTGCATTTGTTTTTTGGTGGTTATTTCTTTTTATACCAGACTCATGGCCAGACCCAGAAACCTGGTAAAACCCTTCCCCCTTTCCCACCGGGTGGGTGTGGCAGAGGCAGGTGAGGACAAAGCAGCGCTGGCTGCCGCAGGGGCACCGCAGTGACACCGGCTGGGTCCCCTCTGTCACCGCAGCGCACACACAAAGGCTCCTTTGTCCCCAAGAGCAAAGTGAGGGAACCTGGGTTGACAGTGACTGCCTCTGCTCCAGGCGGCCACAGTTAACTGCATAACCAGGTCACCAAGTTAAAAAAGAATACACAACAAGCTAGGACGAGGAAGTTAAAATAAATACCCTGCTCAGCTGGGAATGTCATGCTGCCTTCCTGACCTGGCATGGTGTGGGACAGCCCGTCCCCTTCTGGGCTCAGAGTGGACAGAAGTCCTGTATTTTAACAAATCTTTTTGGTACCAGGGTCAATGAGCCCCAGATGGCCTTTGAAATAACAATATTGAAAGTATTTTGTGGCTGCCCATTCATGGAGACATGGACAAGTGCTGAAGGTATCAGCACATAGACTGATAGAAGGGTTTGGTCTGGAGGGACCTTAAAGCCTATCCAGTCCCACCCCCTGCATGGGCAGGGACACTTCCCACCAAGCCCCATCCAACCTGCTCTTGAACACTTCCAGGGATGGGGCAGCCACAGCTTCTCTGGGAAACCTGGGCCAGTGTCTCACCACCCGCATAGGAAAGAATTTCTCCCTAGTCAGCCACACACTCCAGCTGTTGCTCCCCGGGCCTTTGCCACGACCAACCTGAGCAATGTCTGTGAACACAGTGTCTGAGACGCTCTCACACAGCGTGGCCACGAGCTGCAGGACCCGCAGCTTCCTCCCATGC